GTATATATATATATATGTGTGTGTGTGTGTGTGTGTGTGTGTGTGTGTGTGTGTATAAATACACATATTTAAAAGTGATTTAAAAAATAAAATAAATTTGAGAGAAAGGGAGAGGGAGAGACAGAAATATCAATGGTGAGAGAGAATCATTCATTTGATTTTCCTCCTGCATGTCCCCTACTGGGGATCCAGCCCATAACCCTGGCATGTGCCATAACTGGGAATTGAACTACGACCTCCTGGTTCATGGGTCAACGTTCAACCACTGAACCACACCAGCCAGGCAAAAAAATATTTTTCTATTACAATTTACATTCAACTATTTTTCTTTCAGAGAGATAAAAGAACACAAATAATGTTAGTATCTTTGCTAAATCAAAGTAGGTTTGTTATTCTGTTAATAAAATCAGGAATGGTGGCAATCAACAGTGACATAGCTAAAACTCTGTGAGTTTTATTAAAACAAAATTATACTTTCCCACCCCCACATCATCTTGACTGTGAACTCACTCATAACTGAGGCCAGTGGGTGGTTACTTTGAGGATACATGAGGGTCCTTGCCTTTCTTCACAGCTGCTAAGTGGCAACCGTCTTTCCTGGAAGGTTGCTCACTCCTGCTTATTCTGTAAAATGCTCCATGACACACTAGCTTCTTCACATTCCCTACACATTATACACAGTTCTTTAAAAATGCTGATCTTCACTCTTTTCTCTAATTGGCCCTTAACTTTTTTAAAAAAATATATTTTATTGATTTTTTACAGAGAGGAAGGGAGAGGGATAGAGAGTTAGAAACATCGATGAGAGAGAAACATCGATCAGCTGCCTCCTGCACACCCCCCACTGGGGATGTGCCCGCAACCAAGGTACATGCCCTTGACCGGAATCGAACCCGGGACTCTTCAGTCTGCAGGCCAACGCTCTATTCACTGAGCCAAACCGGTCAGGGCTTGGCCCTTAACTTTTAATACTAAGAGATGAAGCTAGAATTTATTAAACAATTACAGGTTTTGATAGTCTAGCACTTCACATACTGTTTCTTTAAAGATTGCTGGGGAAAAGAGCCCATAAAACAAATTTTCTGTTGCCATGGATTTAGGAACACTGTCCTAAATAAACTGATTTCTTCATTGGAGTGATTTTCAGAGCCTTTACTATGCAAATGAATATAAATCTCCAAAAGGGATTTTGCTTAAAACAAACACTTAAATATTTTGGGGGCCCATTTAATTACAAAATAATGTTTTGTGGTACTCAGTTTGGGAAGGGTTAATAAAGACATTTTTTGTTTGTTTGTTTTACAACTGTTTTAATCATACTTACTGCCAATAAATCCAAAAGGAGAAAAATGCCTTCCTTTTCAAGAAAGTAATCCTCTAAGGGATAACAAGCCAAGATGCAGCACCTAAAATAAAAAAGGAAGTTATTCATTGAACAAGGATTTATTGTTAAACTCAATTTGTCCGTTTATTGTTATAAAAAAAACATTTTTTCCAAGTACTTTTCATTTCCTAAAATCAAGTAATTGTTTTACTTAAAAATTTAACTTTGAAGAGACTTTGCTAATGTAGTTTAATTTCAACTATTTTTAAACCAAGATCAATTAATTATTTTTCATAATTGCCTATGGGCTTTTCTGTAGATGCAATATGCTCCTTTGCTTTCATGGATATTAATTATTCTTAAAGATCTCCTCCGGTTTCTCTAGCAACTGTTTCTTTAAAATTTATCCATTTATTATCTCTTTCACAGTGTTGATATGTCCCAAATAATTAAAAAAAAAAAATATATTTTTCTTGATTTCAGAGAGGAAGGGAGAGGGAGAGAGAGATAGAAACATCAATGATGAGGGAGAATCACTGATTGGCTGCCTCCTGTGCACCCCCTACTGGGGATCTAGCCCGCAACCTCAGGCATGTGCCCTGACCAGGAATCAAACCTTGAACTACTTGGTGCTCAACCACTGAGCCACACTGACCAGACTCTTTCTTCTTTTTAATGTAGGCAGTTATCATTGTAAACTTCCCTCTTAGTACTGCTTTGTCTGTACTACATAAGTTTTGGTATGTTGTATTTTCATTTTAGTTTGTCTTGAGAAATTTTCTAATTTCCTTGTTGTTTTTGTCTTTGATCCAATGATTATTTCAAGAGTTTGATGTTCAATTTGAATTCATCTATGAGTTTTCCTCATTTCCTTTTGTTACTGATTTCTAGTTTTATTTCATTGTGATCAGAAAATATATTTGGAATGATTTCTGTCTTCTTAAATTTATTAAGACTTGTTTTGGACCTGGCATGTGATCTAGTCTTATTGCATGTGTGCTTATTAAAAAAACTCTGGCCCTAACCAGTTTGGTTGAGTGGATAGAGCGTCAGCCTGTGGACTGAAGGGTCTCAGGGTCCCAGGTTTGATTCCGGTCAGGGGCATGTACCTTCGTTGCGGGCACATCCCCAGTAGGGGGTGTGCAGGAGGCAGCTGATCGATGTTTCTCTCTCATCGATGTTTCTAACTCTCTATCCCTCTTCCTTCCTCTCTGTAAAAAATCAATAAAATATATTTTTAAAAAAACACCAAAAAACAAAAAATTCTGTCTCAACTCTTAATAATTCACTTTTGGCCACCAAATGTGTGGGCTTTCCCCCCCATACCAACTGGGTGTCCTACAATTCAATTCAATTCAATTCTGACACTATCTACCTGGAATTAGAATCAGAGGTACCGGGCTCAGTCCCACAAGACTGTACTGCCTCTGGCCCCACCTTGGATTCCAGTCCAGGTTGTTTCTGACCGACCAGCTGTATATTAGATGCACCACCCTCCTTGGGATGGAAATCTGTTAAAGAGGCTCACAGAACTAAGGAAAACGTTGTACTCACTAGATTACTGTTTTGTTATAAAAGCGATGGAAGAAATACAGAGGGCAAGGTAGGGAGAATCTCCATGCCCTCTCTCAGAACCTCCATGTGTTCACAAGCTACAAGTTCTTTCAGCCTCATATTTAGGGTTTTGATGTAGGCTTCACCATGGAGGCACAACTGGTTAAATCACTGGCCATTGGTGACTAAACTCAACCCCCAGCCTTTCTCCCCTCCCTGGAGGTTGCGGGTGGGGGTGATATTTCCAACTCTCTAATCAATTGTATGATTGGTTCCCCTGGAAACCAGCCCCCATTCTGTGTCTATCTAGGGGATTTCCAAAAGTCATCTTATTAACATGAACTCAGCTGTGGTTGAAAGGGACTTGTTATGAATAGCAAAGTGTTTATTACTCTGGAGATTTTATAGGAACTGAGAATAAAAACCAAATATTACAACAACAGATCTTCCATTACTCTTATTGACTAGAAAATTACAAGTGTTTCAGGAACTCAGTACTAGCAATGGACCAAATCTATATTTCTTATTATAAATCACAATATCACAGCACTTAAAAAGAATATGTATTCTGCTGTTATTGGGTGGAATGTTCTGCATATATCTGTTAGGTTCATTTGATCTATAGTTACCAGTTTTGTTTTTGTTTTTACAATGTGTTGCAGTGTGTCTTTCATGAATACCACCCAAATATAACTAAAGAAATATATTAAGTGTTAATGATATATAAAATTCAAGTAATTTCCTCCAGGACAAAGTCTTGTAAATTACCAGTAATCTTAAAAAAAGAAGTATTTTTTTACCCTTAGAAATGCTACAAAGTTTGGGAAACAATATTGGTTAGGAAATACATATTCAATTGGTTTTTAACTCCTTTAAGAAAAGATGAATGAGGAATTCAACCATCTTCCAGTATAAGAATAATACTAATAGATGCTAGTGTTTTCCCAGACCAGGCTAAAATGGAATGGGTTCAAATCACAAAAACAAGAATTTAAGTTTAGATACAAGAATTGAGTGACAGACAAGATTACCTTCCAAAGGACACTGGTAAGTGTGTTTTGGGGACTATTAAAAAGAAAAAGGCATCGAGAGAGTTATCTTTCTGGTGTGATTTTGAGGAAAGAAAATTGGCACACATGACTATAGAGGTAACTTTCTTGTACTGTGATTCCATCTAATGTGGGTACAGTAATACTCACCAAATGCTGTCCAATGTACTAAAAAGAAGAACAGTATAGCCTAATCCACTCTGAAACTTCTTGGGGTCTGTTTTTATTACATGAAGAACTATATCCACTCCTTCAGTTCCAAAAATTTCCTAAGAGATTTAAAATTATTTCTTGAAATAAATAAATAATCCCTTTCTTTCCTATGTCATCCTGTCTCCTAAAACTTTTTCTATCAGATAAATACAACATTGTTAGGGAAATTGTACTTTTAATTCATTTTGTTTGTTTGTTTGTTTCTGATTGTGTACTTACTTGTTCTCAGGAATTTAGGACAAACTATTGTAAAGCTAATCATTTAAGAGAGAGCATCAATCAATAGTCCAGCTTAATGTTCCTTTATGCTTTGTGTTGTTCACTTTCTCTTTCTTTAAGAAAAATAAACCATAAGGCTTGTCCCATGATTTTCTTCCACAATATAAAGAATGTAGTCAATCATCATATTAGATGAATACTAGATAGCAGCAAGTAATTGAAGAGTCTAAAATTCTATCATGGAAAATTTTCTAACACTCCCAAGAGAGAAACAAATATATAAATGGCAGTTAAAACATTAATAGTTTATATGACATTATTATCAGTTAATATTTATCCCCTACCAATTACCTTCCTCATTGCCTTGTTGTTCAGTTCTAGTTCCCAATAAGCAAGACTGAGTATTTTTCCAGAAATAGAGGAACAGAGTGGCAATATAAGGAGAAGTTGCAGCAAAGCTTGGAGCTAAGGATGCATTTGCTGTTCCTGTTCTCTCTCTCTCTAAAACCCCTCTATTGAAACCTTCATACATTTATTTTTATTTTTTTATTGATTTCAGAGAGCATAAGGGAGATGGAGAGAGAGATAGAAAACATCAATTATGAGAGATAATCATTTTTTGGCTGCCTCCTACACGCTTCCTACTGGGATTGAGCCTGCAACCCAGGCAGGTGCCCTGTCCGGGAATCAAACCTGTGACTGCCTGGTTCATAGGTCAATGCTCAACCACTGAACCACGCCAGCTGGGCTATACATTTTTTATTTTCATCTTTCCAATTCTGTCTCTTGTTTTTTAAGTTTTCAATTTTTGAGACTCAGAATTTGCTATGGAGTTAAAAAAAATCAAAGGGAATTAGCTCTTTTTCCAACGTTTAGTTTTAGATTTGAACCTGATTCAAACCCCAAACAGCATTTATAGTGGTACAACTCACTTAGGAAAACTGTTTACCAGTTTCTTAAAAACATACATCTACTTTATGATCCATCAACTGCACGACTATATATTTACCCAAGAGTCATGAAAGCATGTCCACAAAAGACTAGTACAATAATGTTCATTGATGCTTCATATATATAGTAGTTCCAAATGGAAACAACCAAAGTGTTTTTTAATAGGGGAATGGAGAAGCAAATTTTTGGTATATTTGTATAATCAAATATTATTCAGCAATATAATTAGCAATACTGATCATGCAACAACATGGATATATTTCAGAAATATGATGGCTGGATGACAGGAACCTGATATAAAAAGAGTAAACACTATGATTCCATCAATATAAAATTAAAGAATAGGCAAAACTAATCTATGGGGATAGAAATCAGAATAGTGGTTTCCTGGAGGCAAGTGGGAGGATGGTTGCTAAGGAACATGAATGAATTTTATAGAGAGGTAACAATATTCTATATTTTAACGGGGGTTTTGGTTAAATGAATGTATACATTTGTCAAAATCTATTGAACTATATACTTAAGATCTATACACTTTACTGGATATAATTGTACTATAATTATAAAAAAAAATTAAATCTCCCTAAGATTAAAGAACACCAACATTTATGGGCACTTAATAAGAAAAAGCTCATAGTGTTAAGTGATTGGAAGGTCTAAACAAAACTTTTATTCACAGGCATACATACCTTCCTGGAATTATCATTTTCACAAAGAGCAGATAAAATAAGTAATATATCAGATTGAATTTCCAAAAGAATGGCCTCTTCCTTGTCATTAATCTTGCTTGTTGTATATTTAAATATCCCTGATATAAAAAATTAAAGAATGCAAAGTTATTGGACAGTATATTTTTATTTTAATCAATTACTACTTTGAAATCCTTTCTTATAAAATCTCAGCTAGAGATATCATTTTAAAAGGGGCTATTTTCATTTCATAGTTGCCTAGAAGACGTAGACAGGTAATAAGTGGATTCACTGAACTCTCAATAAATCAGTATATCTATATAGAATTTCTAGTACAGAATTAATGAAGTGTCATTAGAACACCCTAAGAACCTAATATTTTGCTCAGTAAACAAAACCATTTAAAAATATGCAGTTTAAAGAGGTAGAATTGAGTGCCTTTGCAAATATATGACCAAAATGCCTGATAATTGCTTGCCTCGTCTCTTCTTCTCATGGTTAATAGGGTCAATTTTAGGTAAAGGTGGAAGACTTCCGTAAGTATTTCTATTTTTGTTACTTCTTTCTGCATCCTCTCCTTATGTCTATGTGAAGGAGTCTTCAACAACTTTAGGTAGCAGTATTCTCATGTCCTTTAAAATCTCTCCCTTGCTTCTAATAAAATTTTAAAAAGACTTGAAAATAGCTACTTACTTTGATGCAATGATATTCATAATAAAATTTTGCCTCAATTTTTTTTCTTAAAGCTCTGAGAGAGAAACAAAAGTCATTTTTTTTCCTCTGTTAAAGGGGTTACTGGCATTAGCAGATGGTGTGGAGCTATGTTTAAAAGTAGGACCATGGAAATCACAGCCTATCTCCATAGTTGGCTCTGAATGAAGGATTCTTGGTCCTGTGAGGATGAATTACTGGTGAGGGATCATCCCATAGGGAGACTAGTGAGCGTGCTGGAGGCCCAGTGCTGGAGGCAGGCCATGGACGTAAGGCCTATACGCCTTTATCAGGAGCACCTTCTAGAAATCCATGCCTACTGCCCATAGGCATGCTTTTTCCTTCTAGGTTATCTCATTCTCCTTCCTACCTGGGTGCAGGCATGTCACTTTCCCTGTTGTCTGAACCACATGTTATATTAACACTGAATTACTTTGTTCATATTTCCTTTAATTCCCTGCCTTTACCCTCTCTTTGTTCTATTCTAAATCATCTGATATATTTCTTGCAGATTCCTCTTCCTAAAACAGCATTATACATATAACTTCCCTAGTGGCTTCTCATGCCTAAAGAGGATGGAGTTCAAACTCTACCATCTCCTATTCAAAACTCTTTCTAGCTTGGCCCCTGACTAGACAGACAATTAAACTTGTCTTCATAAAACTCCGACTCTACTTAAGCTACCTCTGAACACGCCATCATGCATATTTTAACACCATGTCTCTGCTCAAATTTTTTACTTTCTTGAAACTAGCCCTATACCCCAATTCAATACAGGTTCCTAGTAAGATTGCCCAGCCCTCAGAAGAGGTGAAGGGATTAGGAAGTACAAATTGTGGTGAAGGCCTGGGGTGGGGGCTGGGGGCAAGCTAGAAGAGGTCAATGGGGGAAAAGGGGGGACATCTGTAATACTTTCAACAATAAAGATTTTTTAAAAAGGAAGAACAAATTGGTAGTTACAAAACAGTTATGGGGATGTAAAGTATAGCATAAGGAATATAGTCAATAATACTGTAATAACTATGTATGGGGCCAGGTGGGTATTGGAAATATCAGGGGGAACACTTTGTGAAGTATGATTGTTGAACTGCTATGCTGTACACCTGAAACCAATACAGACTGAAAGGGCAACTAATGGATTGGGAGAAAATATTTTTAAATTATATATCTGATTCAGGGTTAATATCCAGAATATATAAAACTCCTAAAACTCAACAACAAAATAAGCGACTAATTTTAAAATTGGCAAAGAACTAACTAGACATTTCTCCAAAGAAGATATACAAATGGAAACAATCTCATGAAAAGATGCTCAACATCAGTAATCATTAGGGAAATGCAAATCAAAACCACAGTGTGATACTACCTCCCACCACTTAGGATGGCAACTATAAAACAAGTATTGGAAAGGATGTGGAAAAACTGGAAAACTTGTGCACTGTCGGGGGGAATGTATAATGGTGCAGCCAATACAGAAAATAGTATTGCAATTCTTTTAAAAAATTAAAAATATAATTTCCATATGATCCAGTAATTCTACTCCTGGGTATAAATCCAAAATAATTAAAATCAGGGTTTCAGAGAAATATCTGTAGACCCACGTTCATAGCAGCATTATTCACAACAGCCAAAAGGTGGAAGTAATCCAAGTCTCCATTGATAGATGGATGAGTAAATGAAATGCAGTATATGCCTACAATGGACTATCATTCATCCTTTAAAGGGGAGTATTTTCTGAGTGTGCCCGTGATGCCGGATGAGGAAAACTCAACTGGCCTTGCTGGCTTTGCGGAGGATGGAGGGAGGGGACTATGAGCCACGGAATCGGGTGGCCTCTGAAAGCTGGAGGAGGCAAGGGAACGATTCTCCTCCAGACAGAAACTACCCTGCCAATACCTTGATGTTAGCCTGGTAAGATGTAAGTTAGACTTCTGGACTATAGAATTTTAAGATAATAAATCTCTGTTGTTATAAACCAACATTTTTTACTTAATAAAATAAAAGGGAGGAAATTCTGACACATGCTACAACATGGCTGAAGCTTAAGGTCATTATGCTAAGTGAGACATGTCAGTCAGAAAAAGACAAATACTGTATTATTTCACTAATATGAGTGAAAGACCTACAGCAGTCGAATTCAAAGACACAGAAGGTAGAACGGTATATGCCAGGGGCTGGGGAGACTAGCAAATTATTACTTAATGGGTACAGAGTTTCAGTTTTACAAGATCAAGAGAGTTCTGGAGATTGGTTGCAAAACAATATGAATGTACTTAACACTAGTGAACTGCACACTTAAAAATGATGAAGATGTTAAATTTAACATTATATGTGTTTTTACAATTTAAACATTTTAAATTAAAAATAAGAATGGTAAAGATAAAAAAAATGAGAGAAAAATAATTCTTCATAAAACTTGTTTTTATAATCTGTCCCTATGAAGGACATAAAATTGCTTGTATTGTCATGTATATCAGGGCCAATAGCTTTCATCAGAGGATCAGGAATCAGAAGAGGATTAAAAATAATTGTCATAAAGAAAGAGTGGGAGGAGGATATGTAGTAGATAGAGAGCATGTTAAGAACTCAGGCTTTTCTTTCTTTCCCTCTTTTTCCACTTACTGTCATGATTTAGGGATCATAAAAATGTCTATTTTGTTAGTAACAATGAGGCTAATAGCTTTTATCAAATAGGGAATTTGTAAGATTAGGCATATGCCTGGCACTCAGTATATGCACCCTTTCTGCACTGTAATTATACCCTTGGCATTATATTCAAAACCATTCACAAGCTGACTCAAATTTGCAAAGGTTTCATCTACCCATCAAGTAATTACTCTGTAATTTCCCCTTCCCCTCAACACCTGATATACAGCTTCTGGCAAGTTTATTAACTTTCTTATCTATAAAATAGGTACCTGCACCAAGAATTATCATGAGGATTAAATGAGGTTGTGTATTTAAAGTACTTAGAACAGTTTCCTGTGCATAATAAGCACTCAATAAATGTTAACTAGACAAAAAAACAACAAAACAAAACAAAAAAGTTTGCTCGGCTTTGAAAACTACCCAAAAACCTTTAGTTCCTATGGTATTTATTGTATTCTTATTAGTCTTCGTGATGGTGCATGGTAACATGTGCTATCTTTCTATCATATACAGCTTTTCTTTCGTTCTCATAAAGGGCAAGGTCCCCATTGGCCTGCTCTGTGCCTGTCTGTAACCCCAGTGCCTACACAAAAGGTGTGTAAACATCTACATTGACAATCAGGTACTGTGTGTGGAGCACATTACTACTACAGAGCCCTCTGCTAGAGTTAGTCAGAGAAGGTCCCGCCTTTACCAACTCTCACATGGTAAAGATCAGGCTTCTTTCAAGCCAAAGGGAAAAGGCCCTAAGAAAAGAAGCCTTACTGTTTGTTTTCCCATTTCCCTACCCCTTCCCACCCAGAGAAGATGAAGAATTCTTCCTGGACAGATGGAAAATTGTTATTTCCTGGGCCCCATCCAGTTAGGCTGGGGTCTTAAGACTTGCTTCTGTGCAACGGAATGTGCACAGAGTGCGAAATCTCCTTTCAGGTTTGGTCATACTAAGCAAACTCATCCATACGGCGAACGTGTTTGTCTAGGCCCCCTTTCAATGCCCTTGTTTTTCTACTAGTATTATTAGAGAGCACCACCCACTCCACTAATGATGAGAGGGTAGGCAGTTGAACTTAACAGGCAGGAGAGTTTTTTGAATGGGCGTTTGAAATTAATCAACATCCAGCAAATTATATCACTTACTCACGAGGCAATCACTGAATATGAATACGACTAAAATAGCTCTTACTTTTTTTTTTTCCTCTCTCTTACTTTTCAAAGTCAGGAAAAGTTAGGGCTGGCAGACTATATCTTATTTAACAAAAAGTAAAAAGATGTTCTTAAGGAGTGCTGAATTTATACAAGTTGGAAATCAAGAATCTATACTAATAATAGCCTAGGTGGTGTCACGCCCTCACACATCACGCCCTAACATCGCCACAAGATGGTCACGTGCACAGTGGAGGCGGGGCCCAGTGGCTGCTCCATGCAGTGATGTCTGGGGGTCCCACAGCTCCACGTGGCGTGGAGGAGGCTGGTCCCGGCATCTCCGCTGCCTCGTATGGAGGACGTGGGTCCCAGCAGAGGAGGCAGGTCGCGGTAGGGAAGGGCAGTTGTGGGAGATCAGGCCGCCAGGGGAGGGCAGTTGGGGGCTATCAGGCCGCCTGGGGAGGGCAGTTGGGGGCTATCAGGCCGCCAGGGGAGGGCAGTTGGGGGCCATCAGGGGAGCAGTTAGGCATCAATCAGGCTGGCAGGGGAGCGGTTAGGGGGCAATCAGGCAGGTAGGCAGGCTAGTGGTTAGGATCCAGCAGTCCCGGATTGTGACAGGGATGTCCGACTGCCGGTTTAGGTCCAATCCCTGAGCGGGAAGTCAGACATGTTGACCCGAGGGGTCCCATATTGAGAGAGTGCAGGCCGGGCAGAGAGACACCTCTCTCACCCTGTGCACGAATTTTGTGCACTGAGCCTCTAGTACCCTGATATTTCATATCAGAAAAGAATCTCCAATGTACATTTCTGCATGTATCGGTGTTCTGGTATACCAGATGCACTGGAAAATGTAATGTTATCACCTCTTTTAAAATGACTACAAAAGGCTTGGCCAGAAAATGGTAATCTAATTACCAGAAGAATGAAATATAACAATGGCCCATTTCAAAAATAAAGGTAAAGATAATCCTAAATGAAATGGTATCTGAACTGAGAAAACAAATGTTTACAGCAGGGGTCCTCAAACTTTTTAAACAAAGAAACTAATGTATAGCAACAATACCGTTGGAGGGCCGGACTATAGTTTAAAAAAAAACTATGAACGAATTCCTATGCACACTGCACATATCTTATTTTGAAGTAAAAAAACAAAATGGAACAAATACAATATTTGTATTTGCATGTGGCCCGCGGGTCGTAGTTTGAGGACCCCTGGTTTAAAGCATGAGTAAGCATGATGTTTCAATAAAGAAACTAATGTATAGCAACAATATGAAATAAAAAATCAAGAAAACATTCAGGTGTTTCTCCGCTATAAAAGCAAAATAAATTTGTAAGAAAACATTTTAAACAAAACCTCTAATTTGTAAATATGCTATTTCCATCAGTCACAAGCATGTTCTGTTTACCTATGAGTTGCTGAATCGTTCCCTTTTCGCAAAGATCCTGATTCACAGTCTCATCCTCAAGATAGATCATAGCTCTCAGGAGTCTCAAAGTGTAACGCAAGTGGGCAAACTTGTTGCCACGGCCGCCTGTGCCATGGAAACTGTTACCATGACTGAAGAAGCATTCTGTGGGGAAATACTAATGATTTACTTTACATCAAGAAATTTAAAACATGAAACTTTTCAAATAAATCAAACAACATATTAGACATCTATCTATAAGTTCAAACAGATGTTAAAAATTTTGTTATACTGTCTACAGAAATAAATAGTATGCCTTCCCTCTCCTCCTCCTCCTCCTAGTCCCAGAATAGAAATATGTGCTTTAAAATTTTCTTCAAATGTATTATATTGTATCTTTTGTAACTTGTTTCTGTTACCCAACAAACATTGTTTTAGAAATTATTCAAAGTGTCAAAAGTAGATCTAGATTATTCATTTTAATTGCTTTCAGCATTCATTTTATAAATAAATCACAGTTTTTCAATTCACTGGTACAAACTGCTAAAATGAATATTCTGGTTTATGTCCTCTTACTCCAACTGAGAAGAGTTTTATCATGTGGAGTATCCCTACACTGAATTTTACTGAAACTTCCAAACTGTTCCCCAAAGTGGTTATACAGATGTAATGTATAAGACTAATAGATTCTTCCCAATCTGTTAAATGTGAAGTGGTAATTCATTATTATATTAATTTGCATTTCTCTGATTACCTATGGGGTTAAGTGTCTTTTAGTGGGTTTTTGTGGGTATGAAGTTGTTGTTTTTTTAATTTGACATTTTCTCTGTCACCTGGCAGTCTCTATTCTTTATTTCTCCAATGAGTTATTTTCTTTTTGATATGTAGGAGTTCATTATGAACCGGGACTCTAACCCTTTATTAGTCACAGGGGTGGTAAATGTCTTCTCTCATTTATAGATTGCTCCCTGATTTGTCATAGACATTTTATGTGTCAGTCTTCTTCTGTATAATAGTTTAATCTCTTCTGGTTTTCCAGTCTTTTCTACTCTGTTATCGTAAAGATATTTTCCCATGTTTTCTCCTAAGATTTTTACAGTTTAACCTCTCATATTTAGGGCTTTAATTCATTTTGTAATTGATTTCTTTTAACATGGTGAAAGGATCTAATTTTTATTTTTCCCCATGGAGGGCTAACTGCCCCAGCACCATCCTTCTCCCTGTGATTGGCAGTGTCATCTCTGAGAAAGCCAACCTCCCATTGGTCTATTCCTGGGCTAGTACCACACAATTTTAATTACTATAGTTTTATGGTAGGTCTTGACAAATAGCAAGGCAAGTCTTCCTTTCTTCTTTATAATATGCAGCCTTCAAAAGGTTCTTTTAGAAGTAGCCTTATGTTTAAAGTTATCAACAAGTTCAGAATACTCTTCTGATTATTGTGCATTGGTTAAAAGTGTGGGTTCTGGAACTAGACTGCCTGCATTAAATCTTGGCTCTGATTTAATGTGTGGCCAGGAACAAGTTATTTGGTTTCTCTTATTCGTGGAGCTAGACTGCCTGCATTAAATCTTGGCTCTGCTACTTTACTGTGTGGCCAGGAACAAGTTATTTGGTTTCTCTTATTCATTGCTACACATCTGCTAAACTGGAATAATACTAGTACCTATGAGTCCTACATTTGCTGGGAGGACAAAACGAATTAATACTTGTAAGTGCGTAAGGCCTACAACATAGCATGTACCAATGACTGTGAGCTGTCAGTCTTCCTCTTGGGAGGCAGTACTTCCTCTCTTGCCCTACATTCTATTGTAAACATAAATAATGTCATAATGATATAGTCTTCTGTAAACATAAAGGATAGACAGAAGAGTTGAATTATTTTATTTAACAAGACTAAATTCAGTAACTTAGCATATTAAAAACTAGAGAACAAAAAAATAAGCTATAATTTTTTCCTCTCTCATGGATAAATGAGTGATATTACTGATCTAATGAAAATGCTCCATACAAAATTATTTCTAGAGCAAAATTACTTCCAGAAAATAATATAGTATCTTCCTTATAAATTGTTTTCAAAATGAATATATGTCTTATTTCCTTTCTAAGAATTATGAGAATTGAAATAAAACATTCAACAAATTGGGGCCCTGCTAATTTGGTAGACCACATATGGAATCATTACATCTGACTAGAGATCTGGATTTTAAGCTCCAGGAAGGTAGAGGTTTTATTTATTTTAAGCATAAATATATCTTTAGCAGCTAAAATGGTATCTGGTACCTAGTAGGCATTCAATAAATATTTGTTAAATGAATAATTAAAATATTGCATGACTTAGCATACTTGTTGGACAGGCCCAATAATACAAATCTTTAAATCAGATTATAATATAATTTCTTTTACTGAAAGTTGTACTTCAACTATAGTTATGACATTTATTAATATCTAATTTTAAATGAAATCTTTTCTTAAAACATGTAAATAATTAAAATCACAGGAAGAGATTGATATTTTTATTTCTTTTTGCATAATTTTATAACTTTTCTATGTATATTTTGGGAGTTCAGTTGAAATATGTAGATTAAAATTTTGACAGGAATCTTTTTTTGTTTGTTTTGTTAATCCTTACCCAAGGATATTTTCCCATTGCTTTTTAGAGAAAGTGGAAGGAAGGGGAAAAGACAGCGCGAGAGAGAAACATCGATTGGTTGGAGTGGGAATTGAGCATACAACTGACGTACATAATCAAAGCCAGGACCCTTCAGTTTGAGGGCCGATGTTCTATCCACTGAGCCAAACTGGCTAGGGCTTGACAGGAATGGTTATGGGCCACTCACCTTCACTTTCACACCATTCTAGAAATGCCAGGATTCGAGCATTTCCCTGGCACAACATATACTCTTTAATTAATAAAGGAGCCACTGATGACAAAGTGGCAAGTGCATGCAGCTGTAATTCTTCATACTGTGCTGCAGACCACTCGATGATTTTGTGCTTCTCAGGCTTCTTTACATAGGTAAACAAAGCCAAAACAACTTTGCCATCAATCAATAGCTATGAGAAAGGGCAAAGAGTACTTTGTTAGAAATATAATTAAAACAATTTTATTTAATCGAAGAAAGTTAAATAAAAGATGTCCTCTTTGATGTTTTATTGATAATCATTTCAAAATATTTCCTTCCTAAAGATCTCAACCTATGATAATTACCCCCAAATAAAAAATGAAAACCCCAAATCAAACTCAGCAATACAACAGCTGGCTCTGATCTCCTTTTCTGGGATATGTACTCTCTAGCTGACAATAACATAGAGTATTAATTTTTTGGGTCAATGCTACTTAAGTATAGAAGTTTAGTTCCTTCTTTTGTTTGTTTTGCTAATCCTCAACTGAGGATATTTTTTTCATTGATATTTAGAGAGAGTAGAAAGGAGGGCAGAAGGGGAGAGAGAGAAAGAGAGATAGATAGATAGATATTTGGCTAATTTTAAACACACACATCAGAACTTATACAAATATTATATCTAATAAATGCCAATCAGATCACAAGCTATATTTAAATATGTGCCTAGAATTTTAAAATTGTATTGAATCTATGATTTTAATAAAAAGAAAACAAAAATATATAGCTATTTATGACAATAAAGTTAATATTATAGCTGATTCTGATTGGTGCATATTTGTGGTTTACAAGATAGTAACACACCATGTGCTATACTCTATTGAATTTTTTTTTCATTTGGCATTATTCCATAAAGACTTTTTCACAATAATATCTATGAATTTTCCTAATTTTTTTACTAGTCCACATGGAAAGAACATAAGATTTAGGACTGCCCAGCACTGACCTATAAACCAGGAGATCACCGTTCAATTCCTGGTCAGGGCACATGCCCAGATTGCTGCCTCGATCCCCAGGAGGGGGCTTGCAGGAGACAGCCAATCAATGATTCCTCTCATCATTGATGTTTTTATATCTCTCTCGCCTCCCTTCCTCTCTGAAATCAATACAAATATATTAAAAAATATTTAGGACTGAAAAAACAGGAATAAGAATAACAGGTAGTTCTAGCATTACTATAAATAGATAATGTTTTTGAAGTCCTCTGTGAACTGTAAATAATAGCACACATATTCATTATTACTACTATTTTTTTCAATCTTTAATTTCTTTATTGATTAAGGTATTACATATGTGACCTCATTCCATAAACCCTCCCCCCCCTCATGCCCTCACCCCCCTGTTGTCTGAGTCCATTGGTTGGGCTTATATGCATGCATTCAAGTCCTTTGGTTGATCTCTCTCCCTTACCCCCACCCTCCCCTACTTGCCCTCTGAGGTTTGACAGTCTTATCGCTGCTTCTCTGTCTCTGGATTTATCCCTGTTCATTAGCCTATGTTGTTCACTATATTCCACAAATGAGTTCATAGCAGCACAATTCACCATTATTACTACTATTATTGGTTACCAGTATATGACCAAAAAATTAGTTGATTCCACTGCTCACATAGTGCTTTATGAAGCTCACCATAGTCTGTGCCATTCAACTGTTACCAACTAAAATTGGCTTATAAATTGTAGTGTAAATTTTATTGTCTTTACATCTATCATTTTAATAGTTATATAATACTCCACTATAATAAACCATATTTTATTGAATATTTTCTATCTGGCAGTTCAGAAAATACATTTAAGTTGTATATAGCACACACACACACAAATATATATATATATGTATATGT